CAAAGCAACACTCGGAGACTCGTGGACCAGATGAGTGTAACACGGACCCAGATAGAAGGAGACGTGCGGCGCATCCGGCAGTTCATCCAGCAAGTTCGAAACTTCTTGTCAGGTAGCACTCTGCAGGCTGTGAAGGATGTGCATGCAGGTCTGTGCAGGGAAAACTCTGCTTATAGCTCACCCCAGTTAAGCTCTCTGATATCCACTTCATCTGCACATGGGTATTTACACAGCAAAGGCAATGCGCGTCCCCTGAGGCAGCAAGGGAGGGCAGGAAAACAGAGGAGGAATTTCAGCAGTCTGCGTTTGTCAGTGGTTGCAGTGTGGCCAGCTGACTTGCACAGGTTTAACCGAGCTGTCCAGGTCGACCCGAATGAATCCCGGCTGTTTCAGCTGTGTCAAATTCCCTGGGGTGTCCCCAGGACAAACATCCTTGCAGAGACATTTGGAGGCCGCCTGTGAGGGATGTGGGGCAGGAGGTAGCACATGGCCTTGACTTGCTGCATGTGGAGCTTCATGGAGGGGTCTCCAACATCCCCCGAGGAACTGGTCTTGAATGCAACTGAATGAGCAGAAGTGGAAGGCTGTGAAGGAAGCAGTGTTTTGTCTGTAGCATGGACACCAGCTTGCTTGATGTCCTCCTCTTGGCTGCAGTGCCTTGTGCCATCCCCGGGGGCTTGAAGACAAACCCAGCCCCACGGCTGGTTGTCTCTGTGGATCCGCAGTTGGCATTGACCCGGTGCAGACCATTGACCCAGTGTTTTCTGGCCACACTCACTGACCAGAGATAAACAGAAGCTTTTCTCTGGAGCAGACTATTAATCAGTCCTGTAATCCAAGGGGATGACTTATTGTTCACAGACAGATTGTAATAACATAATGAGCCTCATGAGCATTACCCGAATAAGAAAATCAGGTCATTTGGTGCTGCCTGGTGTTAATGATGAGAGAAGATGTTTCTGAGCTAATCACTGGGCTAATGTCCCTTGGGCTCTGCCTGCTTCTGATTCCTCAGATTTATTAACTGTTATTTGTGAGATCAGAAAAGGTTTGTCTGGAAGCACAACCTCATCTGCTCAGTGAGGTCCGTGCTGGGCTTAGCCGTGGTGTTCTTATTGCCAAATTAAAGGTATCATTTCAGTCCTTTCCTGAAAGTTTTGCTGGTGTGAATGGGAGGTGCACGAAACTCAAGGAGATTAATTCAGGGAGATCCTGGGAGCTATCTGAAATAAAGAGACTGTGTGCATGAGAGCATGCGTGACTGGATGTATGTCTGATCCTCCCTTGCATCTGCACTCCCACCTTTCCCCTCTCCCATTGCTGACGCTGGCTGTTGCTCTGCAGACAGGGACACGGACCCTGCCACTGTCCAGGAAATCAGTGACTCTGTGCTTTCCCTGCATCTCCCCACGGATGCTGCTGCAGTCCTGAGGAAAATGAGTGAGATCCAAAAGCTGGCCACTAAGCTGCAGTGCCCAGAGAGCATCCTCGCCCAGACGGCTGAGGACATCGCGAAGGCCAAGCAGCTTCAGCAGGAGGCAGAGCAAGCCAGGTCGGTTGGGGTTCAAGGGCTTTTTGGCAGCCGAGGTCAGTCAGCTGGCGTGAACGTGGTGGCTCTGAGTTGGGTTGAAACTCAGCTCAGCTGGAGCGGTGCTGACTTGCACAAAGTGAAGTTTTAGGCCAGGATCTACCATGTCCATACAGTACCTAAAAGAGGGAATCTGCAATCTCTACAAACACCCAATACAAACAAAAACTCTGCCTGCCAAGAATAGATCCTGTTACAGATACAGAATGAGAAGATCTTTACCAAAAATAGTGGAGGCTTTTCTCTATCTCTTGAGTCCCTGTGATGGGAGATGACAGGGTTGCCCTGGTATTACTTGATATTGGTGACCTACATCCTAATTGCACAAGAGAGCAGGAGGAGATTAAATGGGCTATTTGTTTTCTGGGTGAAAGTTGGGAGGATTATCCTGTGCTCCCTTAAAAAGTAATTACAGCGTGTCCTTGTGAATTTGGAGCATCTGCTTTGTCACATGTTGACTTGCAGCAATATCCCAGCAAGAAGGTTAGTGAGATAAGTATAAACTCCTTGATAGTGTCAGACACCTGCTTAACCTGCAGGGAGTGATGAGACAAGCTCCATCACCTGGCCTGAATAGTCCCGCTGCAAGCAGGGAAGTATTCACTGAAACTGGTTCAGTGGTTATTGCTTTCCCTTGGATGCTTTTTCCTGCACCACTTACAAAATAAAGCTTTCTAACTCATTTGAAGGAAGGTGTTTCTCTCCCCTTCTCAGTTTGTCTCTTCTTTTAGGGGTATGAATGGAACTAACACTTCTCTCCAGAGTGCAGTGTCTCCAGATGTGTGGGTTTGTGGCTTTTGGGGCAGGGAGGTTGCTGTCTTCTCGGTGACAATCCTGCCTTGCTTCTCAAGCTTCCTCATTTTGCCTCTGCAACCTTGACTTTGACTTCCAGCCCATGCAATTATCTACGCTCACTCCTGGGTTTTCCCCACATTCCCCCAGGAACCGGGCGAGTGCTGTGGAGGGCAACGTGGAAGAGGTGGTTGGGAATCTGCAGCGAGCAAAAACGGTGCTTCTGGAGGCCCAGGGTGCTATCAAGGGCTCTGGCTCTTCCCTTCGGTTCATCCAGGAGCGTGTTAATGAGGTAGGTGATGCGCGGTGACTTCCCAGTAAGGATACTGCGCCCTGCTCACCGCTCCATTCTTTCCCTCTTGGTAGAGTCCTGCAGCAGCACAGCTGGGAAATGGGTCTGGTAGAGGTTTCTCTGTAAAAGTCTCTTCTTTCTGACGTGTCTCACGTGTGTGCTTCTCCAGATTCCAGTCATGGTCCCCGCTGAGATGAGCCCTGTGCTCGGCTGCACAGGGAGGCGTCCCCGCTCCCTGCCAAACCCCGCTTAGAATCATAGAATCCCAGACTGGTTTGGGTTGGAAGGGACCTAAAAGCTCACCCAGTTCCACCCCCCTGCCATGGGCAGGGTCACCCTCCACTAGAACACATTGCTCGACTTTTGCAATGCATCCATAGGGAAGCGTAGCTGCACAGAGGGGAAAAAACCATCGGGAGTGGGGTTTTGGATGCGATTTCCTTCCTGATGCGGAGCTTTCTGCTTCTAGATCAAGGCCGTTCTGGGTCCAGCCGAGAAGCACGTGAAGGCGGTGGCGGGGCAGCTGGATGGGCTGATGCAGAGGCTGCTGCAGCTGCAGAGCGGAGCGGACCAGAACCGCCTGCGGGCCACGGATGCGCGGCGCACGGCCACGGAGGCAGGCGAGCAGGCCAGGACCGCGCAGCAGGTACCGCACTCGGGCAGGGTGGGCACAGATGTGCTCCTATCCCCCCCCTCGCTGTCACACAGCCAGCTGTGTCCTGGCACGTTGTTAGATAAGGTGAAGAGGCTTCCCTGTTCAAGCCGTGGCTTGCACGTTGTTGTGTCGCTTCTAATGAATCTGATGCAGTATCCCACTGCTGCACCTTTCCAGGACCTCTCTCAATCCTAATGCCCTTTGCTGGAAACTTATTCCTGCCGTATCTCCTGCCTGAGGCAGGGTAGCCCGGTCGGCATCTTTGAGAGGGCATCACAAACTTATGCATTTGCATAAGGTAATGACAAAGCTGTAGCACAGCATCCATTTAATATTTAAAATGGATTCAGCATTAGAAAATCCCCTTCCCCCAAGGCTATTTGCTTGATCCTACCTGGCACTGCTTATTTCCTTTTCCACAGGCTTTTGAACAAGTGAAACAAATGTACACTGAGCTGAAGGGAAGGATGGAGCAGAGCCCAGCTCTGGGAGAGCAGGGCAGCAGGGTGCAAAGCATAGACCTGGAGGCACAGGCTCTGTTTGAGGAAACGATGGCCATGATGCTCAGGATGGAAAGTAAGACTCTTTGTGAGCTCTGTATACCAATCGTATGCACTGGGGAAGGGCTTTTGACTAATGAATGTTTGGAGCAGTCATGTTGGTCTGGGGAGCAAGGGGAAGGCAGGATGTTTGTTTTTCTCACCCTCCCAGAGCTATACAGGAGGGAGGTGGAGGCTCAGCCCAACCTGATGTGAAGGGCAGTGGCCGTGATGCCTTCCTCCTGTCCATCACCACCTTCCTGCCCTCTCTCCTCAGCTTTAGAGATGGAAATTCAGGAAAGCAACAAGGCTTTGATGTCCAAGTCGGCCAGGCTGTCGGGCCTGGAGGAGCAGGTCGGAAGGATCCGGGATGCCATCAACAAGCGAGTTGCCTACTACGAGAGCTGCTCGTGAGTGAGCTGCCTCCCTCCTCAGCACACACTGACTGGTGTATTTATTCCCGTTTTCCAGCTGCAGTTCTCATGTTCTCCCAGCGTCTCTGTTTTTAGCAAACTGAGTTTCTGGACCTCTGGAAAATAGGTGCACTGAGCCAAAGGAGCAACCCCATGGAGAGGGTTAACCTTGGCTGGACTGGCTGGAGCTGCCTGCTGGTTGGAGGAGAAGGGGGAAAGACATGGATCTTCTGTGGCAAATAAAACATCTCCAAAGTTGTTATTTCCAGAGGGGTTTATAAACAAGAAGCTCTTCTTTCTTTCTCTTGTTTTAGCCAATTCAAACTCTTTCAGCTGCATTCAGTTGCTCCAAGTAAAACCCTCATGTGGGGCCTTTGGAAACTTTTCATCTATGCTGCAGTTAATCTGTAAAATTTGCGGTGGCTTCGGTACTTCCCTCCTAGATCTTTCCTCAAATAATCATATCACAGAAATGGAGCGCTTTATCTTCAGCATAATTACAACATACCTATATGTATACAAATAAGAGAAAAGCAATCTCCTTCTCAAAGGTGAAGGCAAATGTCTTGTTTGACTTTCTGCCACAATCTGCTTAGTTGCCACATAACGCTGTGCCAGAAAAATACCAGAGGGAGCAGGTCTGCAGATGCACAGGGAATGCTTTAGAAGGGACTTAATAGACCGTTGCCACATCAAATTTCTATGAATAACCAAGAGGCACTTTACAAAACAAAACTCAGCTTTATTAAGCAAGTATTTATTGTGCAATTACAGACTTGGAAGCAGGGAACTTAAACCTTTCTGTGATTATTATCAGACATATGGAGATTGCTAGCAGGTTGTAGCTCTCCTTTTGTAGCTGAAGTGAGAACCGTGCAGCCCGGGCAGCTGGTGGATGCCGAGCTTCTGAGTGCCAAAGCCTGGGGCTATCCAAAATCCAAGATGTGGATAGGCTGAAGATTGTAAAAATGACCTGCCACTGAGTAAAGCTCTGCATGGCTTCGGTTTATAGGATTTACATTGTGCAGTGCACTTATTACGCGTTGGACAACTAAACAGTATACCGAAAACAAAAGCTTACAGCACTGAGCGATGTCGTATGGATAATGTACACTGAATACGCTAGCAGTAGCCTCAGACTTTCCCTTGCCTTCTCCCAGCTTTAATGATCCATAAACACCCCGAGGTCACTGCACTGATGGATTCCTGGGACTAATGTGCTGCTCGTCACCAGTTGGTCGCTGCTCTCTGAGATGCTGCTTCCCGGCGGGACACAGCCTCCTTTCTTGCTTGCACTGTTGATGTCTGGCTTTGAAGTGCAGAAAAGAGTAAAACAGCCCTTCTGTTTCTGCAAGAGACAGGATTTCAGTTGAGGATTGAACTTTATTTCACTAGGCTGCTACCTTCAAAATGTGCTCTGTTAATAAGCAGTAGCATGGGGGTTAGGAACAGCTTAGATCCCTTTGTGTGCCTTAGTTATAAAGGGGAATTAGATGACTGATCTTTGGAATGGACCTTTCTGGAGCCTGTAGTAGATCTTACTTGCATTTGTCTTTTCTATTAATCCTTTGTATATTACAGTCCTGTTCATACAATCTCATCAGAAGAGAGTGTCATACAAGAAGACAGGAGGTAGCTCACTTTATGTAGCTTTGCACAGCACTATGCTAGCATATGCTCCACTTTGAGGAACATTCTTTATTGCAGGATCTAACAGCAGTACTTCTTACTGCTCATATACAATGTGGTACCAATCATAACAATTTAGCTAGGCCAGAATTAAGCCAAGCTGTGGTCAAGCAGGACAAAATGTTCATGGTTGTACTATGCTCAGCTACAAAAAACCATCTCCATGCTCCTGTCTCTGACAACAAAGCGACGTAAACTGACCTGCCTGGACCAAACTGGGACAGGGCACGGCCCTTCAGGCTGCAGGGATGCCCTGCCTATGCCCAGCCGTGGACCAGCAGCCTGTTGTCAGCCCTTTGCCCATGGTCACAACTGGGACCCAGCTGAAAAGACTTTATCTGAGCTGATGAAGCAGTTTGCTTCCAGTGGGATTCCCACTGAGTAGCTTTGTGTAATTGTAGCACTTGATATGACAGGTCTGTGCCTGGCTGCCTTTCACATGTACCTTGGGCAACCCTGTTGTGATATAAAGGTTGGATTCAGAGTCACTGGACTGGCCTTGGTGGAAGCTGGAAGATGTTTTCTTCCTTGAAAGATGGTTCAGTGAAGGCTTTTCTGTTGCAAAAACCCTTCGAGTTGATGTATTTAATGCACACTCACTCGGCTATTTGTGCCTTTCCCTTTTCCATGCCATAATGGGATTAATGAGAGCAGAAGGTGCCTGGATGCTGTGCACTTACCGCTGGTGATGTGGGGAGCCCAGTGCCTGCCTCCTCCTCACATGATCAGGCAAACCCCAGTTTGGCCAGTGCCACAGTGAGAAGAGTGTTTACTGGTTTTCATGGGAACGAGGACTTCTGATTTGAAATGACTGGTTGGGAATGGAAGAGTTGGAAGAGAAAGAGCCAAAAAAGAGAAACAGCAATATTTAAGATCATTCTGCAGGTGAAGGGAAATTGTGGTTTTAATGTAAAGGACATCAGCTGCTGAGTAAAGGACATCAGCACCAGCTGAGTAATTGGCATCAGCAGCTTTAAGCACAGGCAGTCCTGGTTTCTGGACAGCAAATGTGCTCCAGCCAATGGAGTGTGGCAGCAGAGCCCTGGTGCCTCAGCTCATTGCAGGCTCTGGCAGTTCCTACAAGCACATAAACACTTGGCTGGGTACTGCTACGCAGCAGCCATCAAAGCATGTGCTTCTGTCCCTATTCCCCTCTCCTTTCTATCTCCACCTGGGCTGGCAACTTACATGCCAGGCAACTGCTTCCAGAGATGGTATCTGAAGGGGGCCTATAGGGATGCTGGGGAGGGGCTCTTCATTAGGGACTGTAGTGACAGGACAAGGGGTAACGGGTTAAAACTTAAACAGGGGAAGTTTAGATTGGATCTAAGGAGGAAATCCTTTCCTGTGAGGGTGGTGAGGCACTGGAATGGGTTGCCCAGGGAGGTTGTGAATGCTCCATCCCTGGCAGTGTTCAAGGCCAGGTTGGACGAGGCCTTGGGTGCCATGGTTTAGTGTGAGGTGTCCCTGCCCATGGCAGGGGGTTGGAACTGGATGATCTTAAGGTCCCTTCCAACCCGAACTCTTCTATGATTCTATGGTTATTCCCATGCACTTTGTTGGAAGTTATGGCCAATGCCTTGGTACCTACTGGGATTTTGCAGACTTTTTAAGCAGCACCGTCTCGGAGCAGAAAGATGTCTTCGTTTTCTCGTGCCCCATGCAGGCAGGACCGCAGCCACAGGAGGTTCTGCTTGGTGGGCTGTGGTTGTCGGGCAGGACCAGGCTGCTGCCGGTGCGCTGGACGGTGGGTCCGGTCTCCGAGGGGCTTTGCGGCTTCTCCCCTCTCATTCTTGTGTCTTGCTCCAGCTGAACAGGAGGGTTTGGACAGCCCTGAGAGGGGTCCGGAGGCACTGACGTCTCCTTGTCTTCCTCTGGTGTCGCTGGCCGGGTGGCTGCCATGGGTGTGCTGGGTCTGGATGCCTCTGAGGCTTGTGAATCGGAGAGGGGGCTTTCGGCCGCTGCGTGAACGCTCATGTGGAGCTTCCTCATGTGGTGCACAACGGCGGCGGCGTTGAAGGCTTGCTGGGGGAGAAGACAGAACCCCGCAGTGAGCAACTGGTGAGAGGGGTGGCCATGAGGTGGCATCTTGAGGGGAGATGAGCGGTGGCCATGAGGGGTAAGGGGGGCAGCTCTATAGTGTGGGGCCACTGTGAGTGGAGATCATTAGGAGCAGCCAGGAAGGGAGATCGGTTTGCCCTTAGTGACATGGTTTAGTGTGGGCTTGGCAGATGGGCAATGGTTGGGCTCAATGGTCTTAAAGGTCCTTTCCAACCTGGTTGATTCTGTGATTCCATGCCAGGCTGGGTGGGGGCTGCAGGACAAAGGGGATGTCCCCCTGAGATGACTGCACAGTGTGTGGAAAGTGGGAAGTGCTCGTTCCTGGCATAAACACTGTGGTTCCCATTGAGCACAAACTGATGATGTTTCTGGAGATGACAGCCACTTCTACATGAGAAAATCGTGGAGAAAAAAAAAGATTTCATGCAGAAATCATGTAGGAAATTGGCAGTGTTCAAGGCCAGGTTGGATGGAGCTTGGAGCAACCTGCTCCAGTGGAAGGTGTCCCTGCCCATGGCAGGGGGTTGGAACTGGAACTGGATGAGCTTAAGGTCCTTTCCAACCCAAATCATTCTATGAAATCAGGGGTAAAGTAACCACACTACGAAACAGAGGCTGGCACTGAATTCTGAATGCACTTAAAATGCTGTCACACACATGGTTCCTTTGGCATGCCTTTCTCCACCTAAATTCTTGCTAAAAATCTTGATATAAAGGAAGCACCGATTTATCTTCAAGGCTGAAAGGAGGAAAAGCTGAATTAGGCTCCCCAAAAGATCTGCTGATGGAGCACCCACTTCACTCCCTCACTATTAAAGGCAAATAACCCTTTCCCCCTTCCCTGCGAGGCCACTGTAGTGCAGTGTTTGTGGTGAACCTACCAGTGCGCATTGCAGGAGGGAACCTCAGTCCCAACATGCTATAAACAGTGACTGCATCCAGTTTTCAGGCAGCCCTTGCAGGATCTCAGCTTTTGGGTGCTTCCCCACACAGCTGAAGCCCGGTGTGTTGCTAGATGGCAGCAACTGGCATTTGTTAGTGGAATGGCTCTGGGCTTCCACCAGTGAATGACTTACCCTCCATTTGCTCTTTGCAAAGTTTTTCTGGATCTGAGCACTGACAGATGGGTATATGTCACGGTGGAGGGCTGTATTTCCATTAATCCTGCAGATGGGGAGAGAAGAAAATGGGCTCGTAGGCAGATGGCATTTGTAAGGCATTCCACATTCTGGAGGCAACTAACTGCTTTGTACGTTCAATCAGCAATAATTAAACCCCAAGGAGAAACAGCAACAAAATGTAACGCAAACACACGCTTCAAAGCTTGGGAAAGCTCAGGGTGGGATCTCTTCCTTGCCTCTGTTTATGGAGGCAAATATGCACAAATTGCATCTTTAATTATTCATCACTTTCTTTCTAAGCACACAAGAAAGAAACACCCAGGGCCATGCGGAGGCAGGCGGTGACGTGAATAACGGGGGCTGAGGAGACACCCCTGTTCCCAGCTCTCACTGAGCACGTGGAGCCAGAGGCGGAGGCTGGTAAATCCCTGTCCACCAGCTCCTGCCGGGGCCCTGGTGCTCTCACCATGGGTGCCGCAGGGCTTCCTCACAGGTAAACCTCGTGCTGGGGTTCTTCTCCAGTAAATGTCTGATGAAATCCTTGGCTGGGTGGGAGGGGAGGAGAAAGAAGCACAGAGAAAAAGGTTATTTTCTGCTTGTTCCAGGACGTGAGCCTAACGGGGCATGGCAAAGGCTAGTGGTAAACATCACGAAGGTCGGCCTCAAGAAGGTGCTGTACTGCTTCATTATGCCATTAAAGGGAGATGTTTGTGCTGAAAGGCTCCAGGTGAAAAAACATTAACTGGGGATGTACTAAACTTCACATTTAACTACATTAATCTGAGTTCACCTAAAAAATAACGTGAAAAACCATAAGAGATGAGCAGATTTAGAAGTTGCCTTACAGAGCCCTTATCCCTCCCTTATTTTTATTCCCTTACTTTGCAGGGAGGATCACAGTGGTTGTTATTAAGTCTTGACAAACCTCCTGCTACTTTTGTTGTATATATCAAAGACTGATGTTCAAAGCACGCTGCTAAGGTGCTGGTTTCAGTAAACTCCATGCAGGTGATCTACACGAGCAGGTTTGTCTGGTGGAAGGGTGCAGTGGTGACTGACGTGGCTCGTTGTGTTGCTGTAAGGAAGTGTGACTTGATGGGGTGAAAAGGAAAGGGGAGAAGAAGAGAACCCCCATGCAAACAGGAAAACAAGGTGAAAAACCTGGAGTTCCCTTATTTCCAAGGGAAACCTAAGCCCACTCTGAGCTCACTAGGCATTTGTGAAAATCAGAGCTACATTAGCAGAGGCTTCAGCCTCTGCGTTGCAGGAAGGATTCAAAGCACCCCAAACTCTGCCAGTGCAGCCTGGCTTTGCTGTCATCACGCCTCTGCTGTGGTGGTGGGAGCCTCTGCAATCACTTCCCACATCTAGGGGTTCACTGCTGTGTGCGTGAATCAGTTCAAGACTTCATCCTTTCCTATCCCTGCTGGGGATGTCAAAGACCACAGGGCTCTGGATTGCAGCTTTACCTGATGCGGAGATATCATCCCAAAACGGAGACTCAAACTCATAGTAGCCTTCCTTAATCTTTTCAAACAGTTTGGATTCAGTCTCTTCGTAGAAAGGAGGATACCCACACAGCCTGGAACAGAGCAGAAAGCCAGTGGTCCTTCAGTGCTGGCATCCACAGCAGCCCGGCAGACAACACAAGTGAGTAACAGAGGAGGCTGTTCTATCCACCCATCTGTCCCTCACATCTAAATGTGTTGGTAAAGCTGCAGAAAAGAGTTAAAAACTTAACTGCAGCAGCAAAAGGACAAGGCCACAGCTGGTGCATAGCTGCATGGTGTGGGAGGAAATGAAACAAAAAGTACCAGGGAAGATTGAATGATATTTGTAGGCAATTGGAAAAAAAAACAACCCAACAAAGCATGAGGCACATAATAGAGAAAATGTGATTCCTTTCATCTCCACTCCAGTGCTTGATTCCCCACATCCCTTTAATTTCTATGCTCTAGTGAATCTGTGCAAAGGAAGAACACAGCGCTGCTGAATACCCGCAGCAAAATGGGAGGTCCAGTATCGCCTCCGCTGGCACTGCTGCTCTGCAGAGGTGTATGAAGCGATGGAGGAGTGGGGAAATAAGTGGGATGTTGTTTGCTCTTACTCACAGGATATAGGTAATGACTCCGATGGACCAGCAGTCTACGGCTTTGCTGTATGGCTTCTGGGCGAGGACTTCAGGGGCTGCAGAGCAGCAAAACCAAAGGACAATTCTAAGCAATAATACATTATCCAATACAAGGGAAATCAGCAGTTTCTTGTACACTTGGCCTCTGAGGTGCCACAGAATGGGCCACTAACAGCCCCATTCCCCAGCTGGATTTTGTCATTGAATGGAAGTACCACAGACAATTTCTGCCTGCATCCTGAGGTTTTAACCAGTAAGCTGTGCACCCAATCTGGTGGACATTACACAAAATCCCATGGTGTTAAAATGATTTTTGTATTTTTTCACTACATGATTCATGCTGAAATCGATTGCTCTGAAAATTATCCTTTTCTTTGCACTTTTGAACAATTTGAGCTTTTTTCAGTCTCTGCATTCATTTGTAACCCAGTCTTTATGTGGTCCACGCACTGCATCTGTGACTAACACGCTGTTGTTAATAATGACAAGGTTTTTTCCTTTCTGCTGCACAATGCACTGCACATGCACAACCCTTGTTTTCCAGACAGTCCACCAGCACCAGCCCATTCCTGGTCCCTGGCTTACCAACATATCCCGGAGTCCCACAGGCAGTGGACATGATGCCGTTCTGTTCCATTTTAGACAAGCCAAAGTCCGTGATCATGATTTTGGAGTTCTCTTCAGGAGTAAGGTAAAGAAGGTTTTCAGGCTGTGAACACACAGTGGTTAGAGGTTGGAATGTGTGGTAGAAAATGGGGAAGCCAGGGGCAGAGGTCGTGAAGCTCCAGTCACGTCAGCTCCGTGGGGTGCTGCTGTTGCTGAGGGACAGGTCTCACCTTCAAGTCCCGGTGAACTATCCCGTTTTCATGGAGGTACTTCACGGCTGTCAGGACCTGGTGGATCACCACACTTGCATCCTTCTCGGTGTAAACTCCTCGTTCCAAAATGCGGTCAAAGAGCTCTCCCCCAGATACCCTGTGGGAATGGGAGTTCAGAAAGGAGAAGACTGAAAAGGTAATGAAACAGAGCAAATCATGCTGTTGTGTTGGGCAAGCCAACTTTCTGGTCCTTGTACTACTCTACCTACAGCAGAACCTGGCCTTGAGCAGCAGTTTTTTTGTGAGGCTGATGGATGCTCTTGGATGCAATTTCAGGGTACCAGTGAAGTGTTAGTGGGAAGCCCAGGGAACTTGGGTAATTTACAAGGCAAATCCCAGCAGGTCTGAGCTGCAGGCATCCAGCAGAGTCTCCAGGCTCTGCTGCACAAGCGGAGATGTGGGGATTTTTGTGTGATTGCTTCCTTTAGCTAAATTTGCAAGTTAGCAGTAGCAGCCTGGTGCTTGGAGCTGGTGCCCACAGCGAGCTGCTTTCTCTGCAGCTGACATGTTGCCCATTTTCATTTCTAGAAACCCTGCGTGGCACAGCTTTAATTAGAAATGCTTCTGTCTCTGCCCTGCTAAACTGTGCTGAATTAATTTGCATAAATAGATCCTAATCTTGGTTTAGAAACTTGCTGCTAAAACCAACATGGGCTGAGGTCCTGGTTAGTTCAACCCATGTGGCTCTCGCCTCCTTAGTGAGGGGTGTTTGGGCATGCAGCTTTTACATGGGAGGGACTCCGGTGTGTAGGTGGGGAAATAGGGTACATCATCCTCATCCTGCCACTCTTCTTCCTCTGTGGCCCTCAAAGAAGTGGCTCTGCTGATACTTACAGCTGCATGACCAGGTAGAAGTGGGTTGTGCTCTCATAAATATCTTCTAAAGTCACGATGTTTTCATGCTTTATTCTGCAAAGATAGATCACAGAATCACAGAGCAGTCTGGGTTGGAAGGGACCTCAAAGCTCCTCCAGCTCCAGCCCCTGCCATGGGCAGGGACACCTTCCATAGAGCAGCTTGCTCCAAGCCCCTGTGTCCAACCTGGCCTTGAACACTGCCAGGGATGGGGCAGCCACAGCTTCTCTGGGCACCCTGTGCCAGCGCCTCAGCACCCTCACAGGGAAGAGCTTCTGCCTAAGAGCTCATCTCAGTCTCCCCTGGGGCAGGTTAAAGCCATTCCCCTTGGCCTGTCCCTGCAAGGATGTATGGCTCTGTTGGGGTTACAAACCCAGCCAAGGAATGAGGGCAGAAACTTTGCTAATCTGCTAATTCACAGTAACATTTATACATCCTTTAAAAAGAAATATATATTATTACTGTAGAGCCACACACCTTAGGAAAGGACATTTGTCCCACTTTACATTACAATGTCTATATACTCACTTTTTCAGCACTGCTATTTCATTCTCCAAGCTGCTGTCCCTTGTGAGAGGAGACTTCTTGATGCATTTCAGAGCAAAGAGCTTGCCAGTGCTTCTTTTCTTCACTAGGAAAACTTCAGAAAAGGCACCTCTGCAGAGAGGAAAAGGAGTTGGATTTCAGCAGCGGCTGCTGCTGTGAACTGGGAGAATACTCACAGAGAGAAAGAGGAAATAGCAAGAAAAAACAATATGGTAGTAATTTAACTTTAAGTGGATGCTGATCATAGACCTCGAAGGTCTATGATTCAAGGCCAGGTTGCATGGGGCTTGGAGCAAGCTGCTCTAGTGGAAGGTGTCCCTCCCGTGGCAGGGGGTTGGAACTGGATGAACTTTGAGGTCCCTTCCAACACAAACTGTTCTGTGATTCTATGCTCTCCAGCAGCCCCAAATTTAGGACATTCAATGCAAGATTTAGATACCCCCTTTTCCCCCAGTTTTCTCTGTTCATAGTGAAAAGCTTAATTTTACATTGTCCATCACAAAGCTGTGTTGAGGTACCGGACAAAAAGGACCCCTGCAATGAAATGGAATCCCATTCTTCAGGTCCATCTGTGGAGGCAGTCAAGGCACACAAGAGTGTGCAAGGCTGTGGGTGAACTTCGGCTGTGCTGGGTTTGGAGCACACCTCGGGGGAAGCAGCTGGCAGACAGGGTTTGAGCCCACACCTTGGGTGCATGCAGGAGGAGGCATCGTCCATGGTCTCTTATTTACTGCCTTTCAGGGCACTGCTGCTCTTCAGCCTGTTGGGACTGGGGGAATTTTCCCAGGCCAAGTGAGGGGCTGCATCCGTAACCACATCACTAACAGGTGTCTGCAGCTTGGCTCCTTGTTGGGGTGAACATCCCCTATGGAAAGATCCCAACAGCCTCCACTCTAACCGGAATTCCTGCTTAATACAAACCATATTTCCTCCAAGCCCCCATGGTCTTAAAGCAGTCCTTCCCTTGTCCTGGTCAGCATTGTCCCAAGGGCTGAGGTAGCTGAATTGCATGAGAGAGCCCAGTTAGGTTGCAGTTTGGGTATATCAACTAATGTGCTGTGTATCTAAAGTGCAAAATAACCAGGTAACATCAGTTAATATTTTCATTTAGCATTCTCTTTTCTGCTAATACCTGTGTACCCTTAGTGACAATGTGACAATGAGTGTCTTGTATGTTCCTGATAAAGGTTCAGTGCAGCAATGAGCAGGTATTTATAACATGCCTAAAGCTCGTAATCCTGTTAAAGGTCTGTCTCAGGCAGCTGAGCACACGTGTCAGGACAGTGACAGTGCATACTTGGCCAGGCTGGTCCTCAGTAATCCTCATCAAATGGGCAACAGATTAATTGATGGCAGTTAAAGGGAACTTGGCACTGAGTCTGCAAAGTCAGGTAGGGAGCTGGAGGGCAGGGTGAGGAGGGTGAGTGCAGTGGAAGCACCTTCTTGGTTGGGTTGGGATGCTATTGCAGCAAACCCAGCAAACAAAGGCTGTATCTCCTGTAACCTACTAAGCAAAGAATCCAGCGTGCTGTGCAGACAGACTGGAACATGGAGCTGTTCCCCTCTGGCTCATGTGTCTTTGTTAGCGAGTGGCAGCCGGTGGTGCTGCTGGTGATGGGGAGCAGGAGCCTAAGGCAGCTCCTCACTTGGCTCTGCTTTCCTCCTCCTCCTCCTCCAGTGGGGCCCTAGGTGCTGCTGAAACAATGTGCAAGCCCATTGGGGTTGTGAGGAATTGGCTGTGGCAGGGCTGGTTCCTAGCAAGGAAAAAACCAACCCAAACCCCAAACCAACACCCCGAAACTCATAGATTTTCTGATGAATTGAAACCTTTGCTTCACTCAGTCAATAATATGTAATAGTATTCTCTCTTCTGACCCAAAAAGCAGGTGGTGTTGAGACCTTTTCCTTGTTTCTCCTCCAAGGTTGTTTTATGGAGATGCCTTTCAAGTACCTCAGAGCTCGCAGGGAATAGGCAGGGACGTTCCCATTAAGGTCGCTAATCCAGCAGTGGTGGATGCTGGGGGAAGGTGATAGCAAGTTTCCAGGTACTTTTAGGTCCTGGATCTTCATTAATATTCTTCAGCCAGCTCAAGTGGTGCATGTGGGAAAAAATCCCAATTTCTAACGCTGAATTTTCCTGTTAATGCAATAGTAGGAAATGAACAACCTACAAATCAGATGCTGGGGCATCTGTTCTATATATCTGTCCCAAACAGTTTATAATAATTATGCCCCTTATTAAAAAATGATGACTCAACAAGTTGGCTGGGAGAGAACAAAGGTTTTTTCCAACCTCATTCCTTTGGGGAAAGCTGCTGGATAATTTAACTCCTTTCCGAGGCTGACCAGGGACATAATGATTTAAAATGGCTCCAAGCTCCAGAGTAGCTGTTTTTTGGGAGCTTTGCTGTGGATTCTCAAGTCACAGAAAACGTGGCCGTGACAGAACTCACTGGTGGAGGTAATTCAATTCCACCTCCGCCACCTTGGGAATGTTGTCGTGTCTCATGCACATGAATAGGCAAATTAAGCAGTTAACTCACACAGAAGTATGGTACAACTCGAACATCCTTGTTCTTGTTTCATCCCCCACCTGAGTCAGGGTTTGAGCTAAATAGATGATGTGTTATTAGGATGCCTCTCTCAGAGCCATCCCCTGACCTTGCTTGACCTTGCAGCCGCAGCGGACCAGTGCACCCAGCAGGAAAAGAGCAAAACTGAACCAAAGCTGCCACTCAGGCTTGGAGGGCCAGGAGGAAAGGGCAGAGCTGGCCTGGAGCCGTGCTGCGGGGCTGGGGGGGAAGGAGCCACTTTGGTGCTGCTTGGCAAGTGCAAGCCATGAATCAGAGCAGCAGCGACGGGCACCAGCCCCTCACCTCGAGACTGGGGCTTGGCTCAGAGGGGGTCGGGTTCTTGTGACATTGGCCCAGGTTGGAGTCGCTGCCTGGGGCTGGGCAGGCAGTACGTGGCCGTGGCCCTGGCTGCAGAGCAGCTCTGGTACTTACGATCCCAGGGCCTCCATGAAAATGAATGTTTTTCGGATGTTGTTCGTCTGCTTCTTCCAGGAGCTGCTGTCATCCTCTTCCTTGCGACCCATCTCCTCCAGAGTGGACGCAAGGGACGCTGTGAGGAAGAGGACAAGGAGAGGTGACTGGGGTGGAGGGTGCTCGCGTGAGCAGGCTAGCTGGATTCGGGATGCTCTGAGGGGTGCTGGCTTGCCAAGGGCAGTCAGACTTTTCAAGCATGGGAAATTCTGTGCTGGTTTTGCTACTCACGACTGCTTGTGCTGACCATGGCCCTGCTGTTATGTCCTGCTCCAGCCGTCAGTGCAGCCTAGTACCAGCTCAGCTGGGTAGGAACTGGTGACCATATGGTAATCCTCTCTTGTCAGTACACTCATTTAGCACGTGTTGGCAATTACAAATGTTTATGTTATGCTTCATATTTAGTGGTTAAAAAAGCCCTGCTGAATGGTTGCTAATTTTAACTAAAGCATCTATGACTTAATGGATTACAAGTTAGGTGCAACCAGCAATGGAGGTGGATTATAGTTTAGCTGCTTTATTGCTCAAATAATAAATAGTTTAAAAGAGCTCGTGACTGCAGGGAGGGGAACTGATACAAAACATTCTGTTGCTGTGTCTTGTGCAGTTTGCGCTGCTGTCACCTTTTATTTGTGTTAATTGACAGATTGCTTCTGCTCTGAGTCACAACCTTCCCCCTGCCTTGTGCTCCCAGGGAACTGATGTGATAGCAGGGTGCCGGCAGGCTGCTGAGAAGGCAGAGAGATGCCCAGCTTTGTGCCCTGTCTGCTCACGGGACGCTTGACCTTGGTCAGGTCCCAGCTCCCCACCGCTAAGCTCTTTAGAGTGCAGGCTGGGCAGCAGGGCTGTAATAGAGAAAGTAACAGTGTCTGCCTGCGGGGAGCTCACCGGAGCAGTGGGGGACTTAGTTAGGGCTTACACAAGGTCTGGGAGGTGTGAAATGTTATACAAGCATCTAAGAACTCTTAATGAGATCAGGTCTAACAGATCTACAGATCTGGAAGTAGCTGGAAGGTGAGAATGAAGCCCCCAGGCTAGACAAGAATGTATGAAAGTAGTGGCTTGTCCATGCTATCGGGGTATAAAAGAAATGCACTGAAAATATCCCCAGGCAGGGGGATGCTGGGTGGTGACAGCAGCGCCCTTGGCATGGGGAGCATCCCCTTGGAATGTGGAGCACCACACTTCCTGAGATCAGCAACGGCTGCACCAAAGCCTGTGGGACGCAGCTGAGCCTTTGAAAGGCAAAGCACAATCTTAGGTGGAAAAATAAGTGTTTTGGGAAAGGCAGAAGTATTAAAGCGGCAAAAAAGCTGGAAGAGCTTGTTTCAAGACAGGCAGTTGAGATACTGAGTTCCTCCTGTACCTAGTTCATCTCCTGAATTAGCATGGGCTCAGGGTTTCCAGCTCCTTGACCCAGTTTTTCAAAGGTTAATTTGACATTATTGAAACCAGAATTGATGCAGTTGTAAACAGTTGAAGGCTTCAGTCCGTAACGCCACCAAAGGCCAGTGTGCGCTTGACCTTTATTTACCTTCTAGATTGTGATGCATGTGTAACCCTTAGAAATGCAACTCCTTATAAGACCCAGCCATCCCTTCCTGTTTAGAATCAGTGCGGATCAAAAGTTCTTCACACAAAAACCTTTCTGCCAACACCTTGAGCCCCCACATGAAGTTTTCTTTTGCAGCCATTTGCCCACCCCAGATCTCGACAGATCTGGACGGTCACGTCAGGAGGGTTTCCAGCAGAGGCATTCAGCTGCTGGTGGAAGGTGAGTTTTATCCACTTGAAGCAATTCTCAAATGCGTGATGCCAGTGTGGTGTTGAGTGATGGGTAAGATTCAGATGCCCTCTCCATGTCCCAGCTGACTGTCAAGCAAAGAATAGGAAGTATAAAATAAACCAAACCCAAGTAGGTCAGCCTGGCCCCAGGGACAAACAGTATTTTAGTCTCTGTTCCTGTGCAGCCCTTGCACTGAAGCACAGCCCAGTTGTCATGGGGGGCAGGCCGGTAGCAGCACAGTGCAGAGGAATCCCTCCTGGGATTAAACATTCTCATGTTAAATTCCTTGTGAATTGAACAAGTTTCTCTTTAAAAGGGATTTTGCTTCCAAAGGAAGGTAGTACCGTGTTTTCTTCAGTCTCCTGTGAATCATCTGCTCATCTTATAGTTCCTCCTTCTGTCACTCTCTGTGTACGGCATTTGGTTTTGCTGGTATCTGGAGGAAAGGCTGGATGAGCAGCTCTGACTCCCTACACGTGTATTTGATTTCCTGCTTTCTCAGTTTCTCTGTGCCATCATGAGCCAGTCATTTCCTGCCTCCCCTCGCCTTTCTGCGAGGAAGGGGAGTAAAGTGCTGCTATTTTGGGAGCACAATAATGAAATGTTTGAATTGCCTAAAATGTAAAGCTGCATACGTGCTCGGTTGATGAATACTTGCTCACCTTCCTCCTTCCCCATCTTGCATCACATTCTTCTCAATACCTATTCCCTATTCCTCTTTTGATGCATAGGAGAGCGTGTGCAGAGGGGCATGGTGCAGGACACAGAGGCCTCTCAGTCTGGTTGTGACTGTAGGATTATGAGACCTGGTTGAGCCACTTGTTGCACTTTGCAGCAGTTTGTGAGATTGCAGTGTCTGATATGTTTGTTGTCTGGGGTTTGTTATTTATTCAGGCTCTGGCCCAACAATGTCCTGACCTTTCTCAGCACTAGTACACAGTGCATGGATAAACGGGGTTTAAGCTACTTTTATCTATTTAGTTGAATAAACTTTATGGAGTAGAAAACATCGCAAGAGAAGTTGGGCAAACAGACTTTGTGCTTGGACTGGCAGGTTTTCCTGCCAGGTGATGTATCCATCCGTGTGCCTCCATCACACTCCTGACATCCCTTGGTTGGCAGGTCCACCCTGGCACCCTGGGCATCCCCCCAGCTTGGTGGGCATGACTTCCAGGCATGGCAGTGGGATGCACACCCAATATGCGCTTGAAAAATACTGCATTATTTTGAACAGCCAGTGCAGAGAAGGGTCCCTGTTTGCTCTTTCACCCATTCACCTTCTGACAGTGCAAGAAGTGTGTTAAGATTGCGTAATAAAGTGGAACTACTTGTTAATTAGACCTGAGGTAAAGACCTTTGGAGATGAAAGTGAGGTACTTGACGTTGCTTTAATCTGTTTAGTTTCCCCTCTTCCCCATCACAACAAACCAAGCAATATATGCAGGATTTCAGTCTGATAAGTATATGCTGAAAGTAGGAAACAGTTCCAATATTAATGCCTATCCTTTGGGCTCTTCTACAGACTAAGTCAATAAATGTGGCTGCTATACTCAGTCTGCTCCAGCAAATGACACATCATTGCTTAGAACGTAATGAATGTTATTATGACCTTGCTTAAATATTTCCTGAAGGAATTTGTTCTACTTTCATATCTCTCAGTAGCAAATCCATCTGCAGACAGACACTCTGCTTCTGAATGGATTATACTGCATTAGCAAAATTATTGTGAGACATGATTAATAGTCTTGTGACAAAGTTCCATGTGGAGGGGGAAGACACATGCTGCTTTCATGATTTTGCCTTTGGAATGGGCAAGAAGTTGACAGAGAATATAAAATCAAAAGGCTTTGCTTTTAAAAATACACCAAAACAAGCAATCTGCATGTGAATGAATGAACTGCCAGGCCAGCCTCTGTGCTCAGGGACAAAAGAAATGGAAAACACGAGCTCGCCATTAAAAACAAATCCACGTTCAGCATCTTGTATTCATCCCACCGCTCCATCGGTCCAAAGGCAGCGCATGGAGTTGAACACTTGCAAAAATCACCATTTTCATTGTAACCGTTTCAGATGCCTTTAAATACTTCGGAAGTAAAAGGTGAGAAGGCAGCTTTCTATGAAATTGCTAAATACGAGAGGTGCAGGATCCGAGGCTGACAGCCTGTGCAGAGAAGTCCCCCAGTATTTCCCTGTTACTAGACAAAATCCCACTTAAAACCCCCCATGTTAACCAGAATCCCACCTGCTCCCCTGCACAGCACAGGCAGGAAAAGCAAATGGCTATTAAGGAAATGCTGTTTTGCTTACCCAAGTCAGCCAAACAAGGGAACTTCTGTCTGCTGCTGCCTCTGCTCGGCTCCCGCGGTCTGCAGGGATTAGAGCTCGCCTGGGTGCTCACGGGCAGTGGGGAGGAGGAGATGCTCCGCTGTGATGGTAACCGGGGAGCGCTTCCAGAGGAGCGAATTGCCAGGAGCGGGAGCTGCCTGTGGGTGTGCGTGCACGTCGCCGTGGATAACGGCAGCGGTACCTGGCAGCGCGGACACGGGAGCACGAGAGCTTCGCCGGGGGACACCGAGCTGCTGCTGCTGCTGGGAGAAGCGGAGCACAGTGAGCGGCGGCGGCTGCTCCTCGCATGCACCCAGCTGGTACTGAAGTGTTCCTGGGTGCAGTGCAGAAATCATTCGCCTTAACCACAGAAATGACTTTTGGGAGTAGCAAAAATCATGGAATCCCAGACTGGTTTGGGAAGGGAGCTTATAAAGCTCATTCAGTTCCCACGGGCAGGGACCAGCTTGCTCCAAGCCCCTGTGTCCAACCTGGCCTTGAGCACTGCCAGGGATGGGGCAGCCACAGCTTCTCTGGGCACCCTGTGCCAGCGCCTCAGCACCCTCACAGGGAAGAGCTTCTGCCTAAGAGCTCATCTCAGTCTCCCCTCGGGCAGGTTAAAGCCATTCCCCCTTGTGCTATTGCTACATGCCCTTGTGCCCCATTTCCTTTTGTTGGGAGTTCTGCAGGGCCACACAAGATGGATGGGGGTTCCCACCAGGATGCTCTGGCACCCCAACCCTCTCACCTGCAGCACTGGGAAGATGATGCTCTCCACCATTTTTACATGGCACATTAAACCATGGAGAAAAAGCACTGCAGCAGAGCTCAGTCTCCATCACCAGAGTTCTGACTGTTTTAAACCATACAGTAGCTCTGTTTTGACTTTCAAAACCTCTGTGTGTGTGTGCCTTCCCAAGAAGCACAGCACATATGAATATAGGAAATAATAATTCTTTGAATTTTCTCTATAGTGGAGAATTTTTCGATGGCAATAACAACTTTACTGACTGCACTCCGCTGATTTACACTGCCATCTAGAATAATGCATGAAAGAAGTACCCATCATTGTGCAGTTTAGTTTTATATCAGGAATAAATCAACTCTGAGGCAATACTAGAAAATCACATTATTTTTCTTAATACTTTTGTCTTCAGTAGCTTCATTCCCTGGCGATGGCTGTTTGGTTTTCTTCATTTGTTTGCTGCTGGGCTCCAGCCCTCTAACTCTGTTGTGTTAGGGACTGTGGTCAGAATTCCTGGATGTGGATTTGAATGTGAAGGTTTTCTTTAGTGCCAGGTTTTGGTGGAATCTGCATTGATCCGATAGCTTGAAACCTTTGTGCCTGTGGTGCTTGGTGCCCTCCTGTGCCCGGCTGTGGGCTGCTCTGCTGCTGTGCCTGAGAAGGCTGCTGGCCACTTCTGCCTCTTGTTTTCATTCCCATCTATTGATTCCACTTTTAAAACATTAAAACAACTGAATGCTGTCAGTATTATTGTCTCTATGGTGCTCAGTTCTCAGCTTATTTCTTATTTCATAAGATTTGGTGTCTGATCCCAGGATTTTGTGTGCCTTGGGTGGAGGAGAGGAGCGCTCATGGCCCAAGCACCAAGTTACCCGCAGGGTGCTTAAGGGGAAATGAAATGAAATATGACGTGATCCAACCTAAACCATTCAATGATTCTTTGGTGATAATGCAATTGCTTTGGGAGAAGCTTAAGGCAGAAGTAATGAGAACAAAGGGAAGTGTTTACTGCGCTCCAGTCCTTGGAGTTTGTGTGATGTTATCAGGCACCAGATAGAAGTAGGAAGAAACTTGCCTGAAAGACAGGAAAGCGGAGCAGGGCTCTGCAGTACCTGAGAGCTGCAGCGTTGCCCACATCCACAGCGTTCAGGGTTTGGCCTTCAGAAACACACTGAGAAAAACACCAACAAGCCAGTGGGAGCAAGAGGGAGAAGGTCCCTTGTGTGCTTTGCTGTGGGAAGAATCAATCGAGATGGTGGCTCTCGACCTTGCCTGATAGAAATCCAGGACAACAGGCAATTCAGTTCAGGGCCTTTTCCTGAGCCCTCAACGGGCTCTAGTTAAAATAGCAGTTATTAACCAAAGCCACGCAGAGCAGGCAACAATCTAGTTCTTAATGGCATGAATCAGACGTGAGGAGGTGTGATGGAAACAGGCAGCCCAACATGCAAATCACAGCAGAGGTGTTTGAAAGGCACCGTTAGCCCTGAACCTGTTCTTCTGCTGAGAAGGGACCTGGGTGCTTCTGTGACAAGTGGCAAAAGGAAGTATCTCCTGAACACTCTGTGTCAGCAGGGCTGTTTGTGCAGGAGGCACATGCATGGGGGTTTTCAAGCGGAGGGGTTTTGAGATGTGATGCTCTGGGTGTAAATACAAACTCGGAAAGCAAATCCAAAGAATCAGTGTTGGCAGCCTCAGGGTTTTCCAGGAACTGGACTCAAGGGTTGTAAATCCATGGGCCTGGCAGCACCAGAACGAATGCAATCCCACGTGGCTGTCCCAGCCTTGTCCCTGCCTTTGCTCTGCTGTAGCATCTCTGGAAGTCCCTGGCTGGTGCCTGCAGAGAGCACTGCAGCACAGCCAATGAAACCAGCATGGACTTTGGAGCAAAATAAATACACAAGGACTTTAGTGAGCAATGCAATGGGGATTTCCGAGAGGTTGGTCAGGGTAAGGTGCTATTCTGGATGAGCTCCTTGAGATAACAGGTAATTCAATGGCATATTCCTCTCAAGTGGAATCTTTGTTTTCCTTTGTTGTGTTAAAGCAGACACTGACTTTAAAGCAAGGAGGTTCTTCATTTGTAGCATGACTGCCATATAGTGCATTTCCCATGTTGATAGTTCATACTCAGAGTTGACTAATAAGAAGTAGCAGCCAATTAGGAACCTAAAAGGGCTTTTCATTAGCTTTCTGAAAAATTAAGTCCTAATGATGTAGGTTTGAATAGCTGTTTACTCAGGGGGTTAGTTATGCATCTATGAGAAGCAAAACTTCATTCTGTTGACTGGGGAGGGGAGGCTCAGGAAATCACAGCGACTGTGGCTGGTGATGCATGGGGAGCCTGGAAAAGCTCATCCTTGCCAACTGCTGCTGTGACCACTTGTTTCTCTGGAGAGCTGTGGAGGGAGCAGCTGTATTTCACTGGACACATGTAGGAAACGGCAAAGCACAGCCAAGGACAGCCTGGGACAGCGGTGGAGAGTGCTCCAAGAATCAGCAGTGATGTGCCTGTTCCAAAGGGAACACTGGACACCATGGTGTCTGGAGAGCACGGTGACGTATCAGAAAGAAAATTGGCATGTAGAAATTCAATGGGTAGGTTTAGATTAGACATTAGGCAGAAGTTTTTCCCTGGGGATTGGAACTGGATGAGCTTTAAGGTCCCTTCCAACACAAACCAGCCTGGGATTCTATGATTCTGTGCTGAAAATTACCCACTTAGAGGGTGCGGCTAAGACAGACATGCAGGTCACCTGAGCATCAGAGCCATTATCTGCCATGAGCACTGTCACATTTCACAAGAAGGAGGTGAGAAGGTTCCTCTGACAAGAAATGGTTTTGATTTAGTGCTGCTATAATGAACTGCATGGAGTGTCTCAAGATGACAGAGTACCTGGAAGGTAGTCTGTTCACGCGTAAGAACTGCCATCTCTTTAAAGAGAACAGAGAAAAGATTACTGAAATAGGTTTGGATATATTCCCTGTGCCAGAGCAGACATGTTAGCTGCCAGAAACCATCCCACAGCTATTTCCAAACGGTCAGAAAACAGATACACTCAATAATTACATCCAGCAGGATCCGGGCAGATAAAAACATCTCTGAACATCACCAAGGGTCCGTTAGGAGTAATGGCACCCCAATTCTGCTAAGCCATGGCTCTGGTCATCTCACGTGTAGGTGAGTAAAGGGAACGCTTCCAAGTGCCGATGTTGCCAGGTCTTGTGGGAAAGCCGAGGACCACGTTACAGAGCTCCAGTCAAGGCTACCAAGGTGCAGTTTGCAATTTCAGGCAAAGGCAGCTTTTGTCAGTCCTCCCACGTGCCAAGAGATGGACGCCGGGGCTGCGTATGAAATGTTTTGTCACGTCGCTTCCACTTTTCAGCAAGCTGATGAAAAAAAGGCAGAAATCCCTCAGACATGTTGTCTTCCCAACTCCTGATATGTGTTGGCTACTTACAGGGAGTAAGAGAAGTCTTCGGAGCAGATGTGAAATTCAGCTCTTGTTTGCTCACTTGTCATCACTCCCGAAGCAAAACAAACACTCCTGCTCCTGCAGAAATTAGCCCTCGTGTCTTGCTGCTCTGCCTCACCACGTGCTTGCCCGATCGTCCCCATGAATCATAGAATCAACCAGGTTGGAAAAGACCTTTAGGATCAAGTCCAACCTTTACCCCAGGACTGCCAAGGCCACCACGAAAATGATGGTGGACTGGTCCCACTTTCTTAAGAACCAGCCAGTTCCACTGGTATTTTCTTTTTGGAACATGCTTACTAATACAACCTTTTAGTTTACTTTTTAGTGGTTTGGTTCCAAATATTGTGGGAAAACCATCTTTTCCAACCTAAAATTTCTAAAATCTGGGTTTGTGAAATGGCTGAAGTCCTTATTTTAATGCCAGCAATAAAGCTGCTGTGAAGCACCAGAGGAACAGCACTAGTGAGCCCAGCAAACTGTCAGTCCATGTGGCAATGAGGCTGAAGAGATCCCTCATCTAAAAACTATCTAGAATGGCAACTTGCTGGACCTGGGAGTCGGAGGTAATCCAGAGACAGCCACCAAAAGTGATTTCTTGAACAGCCTCCTGAACAGTGAGCTCTCCACCATTTATCAGTACTTTCCCTGTGTGAGTTCCTCTGCCTCCAGAGGGGTATTTGACAAGTACACAGAGCCACCTACAAACTCCAGGTAGCACAGAAGCAACCAGGATATCGGTTTGCTACAGATCATAGACTGGTTTGGGTTGGAAGGGACCTTAAAGCTCATCCCCTCTGTCAGTTTATAGCCAGTTCCCCTTGTCCTGTCTCTACCTGCCCTTGTGAAAAGTCCCTCTCCAGATTTCTCGTTGTCCTTTTAGGTGCTGATAGGCTGCTGTAAGGCGACATAGTCCTTTTATTAAAAGCAAAGCAGAAGTTTTCTAAGCACATTAGAGAATAAGGCTGGAATGGCTGAGTGAAGAAAGGGATAAATCCCACAAATAGGTGCTGAATGTCCCTGGGGTTTTGCATGCCGGGAAGGAACAGCGCTGGCTGTCAGCAGACAGACGAGCACACCCCCGGCTTCGCAGCCTTTATTTAGCAACCCCCTTTTCACAGTTGTTTCAGGCAGGGGAGGTTTCCAAACACACGCTCGCAGCTCCTCACACAACTGCAAAAGCACAGTGCCTGCAGCGGGGTGGCCTCTCTGCGGCACCCCGTGGGTCCCCTCGTCCCACACAGGCATCGTGGATTGCACGACAGTGATGCAAGAGGTGTTCTGATATCAGTGTGGTGGAAATGATGATGACTAAAGTCTAAAAGCACGTCGAGCTGCCCACGTGGCCAAGGGGAAGAAGGTGATTTTTAGGTCTCTTTTCCCCACTCCCAAATATCTGCTTTTTTTAGTGAAATTGGCAGCAAGAGAGTTTTGTCCCCCAATGAACAACAATGATTTAGGGCACAGTGATGACCGTGAACCCCGAATTCAGTGGTGTGGGTGTGTTCCTTAGCCCAGCCCCTTTGCCAAGGGTTTTTCATATGAGACCAGAATTATGACAACCCTTAAAAGCATCGTGAAAGTGCAATAGCTTCTAACGTCTGAGATTTATATTGATGGCTTTTGTACCAGTGCCACCTCCCTCCTCATAAAGCTGCACATCAGCTTTGAGATGCCAGACAGGAGACCACCTGCCTTTCTCCTGATTTATTACCAGAGTCATCTGGTGCCATTTGATTCCTCCCAGTATGATACCATTCATTATTTATATTGCAAAGAACTAGAAATAGCTGTCAGGTGTCCTTCTTCAGGTTGGCACTGGCAGAGAGGAGCGCAGGGTATTCTGAGCATCGCTGTCATAGTGCAAGATGTCAAAGAGAAACTACCCTGAGGATGCCTTTGAAAGAGCAAAATGAGGAATGAAAGTGTGATTTCCGTGCCAGATACCACTCGGACCCTGTGCCGTGGGGAGATCCTGCTTACCACCCCCTCAATGTTCACAAACAGCTTTAAGAGGACTTAGTCCTTTTCTTCTTTCTCCTTAAACCAGTCGGTATGTTTCGAGCTCCACTGATTTGGTCAGTGAGGTTCTCCCGAGTTTAACCAGCTGTTCTGGTTTTGCCTGGTAAATAGGTTTCTCAGCTGTCAATCTTACTGGTTTACATCTTAAAGGTTCATTTCAAGCTTCTGGTTCATAACAGAACCAGGTTCTCACACCTGTCATTCTCACAGCTCAAATCACAACCAAAGCTCTGAGCATCTCTCCCAAGGATACGGAGGGAAATCACAAATAGAGTTGAGGTATGAGATGGTGATAGCACACCATCTGTGAGAGCTGCCACCACACAAGACAAAGGTGTGCTTAATGTGAGAGCTTTGTGGTTGCAGCATCAAGTTCGTTATTTCTTGAGTGTTTTGATCAGTGCTGCATCCTGTTGACTCAGTGTAAAACCAGATTTGGAGGAAAAGAAAGGTGAAAGGACAGACAGGATGGGAGCTGGAAGGGGACAAGGGATTCAGAGCCAGGAAAATCTGGGTTCTTGGGGAAAGGTGGTCCTTCTGGAAGCACAAGGCCTTTAGATGCAAATGCAGCCTGGAAATCCTTCTCACATGGTGTTTCACTGAATTAATATTTTCTGCAGATAAATAGAGGAGATGAAGAGCAAAGACCACTCCAGCAGATACTTCCTAGCAAAGCATTTTCTTAGTGTTGTTTTGTGTTGCCTTCCTACTTTGCTTAAAGCAATATATCCAATCACACATGATGTATTAGTGCGGATCACTGCCAGGATAAGGAGCCAAAGAGTGAGTATCCAGGAGGCTGCAGATGCCAGCTCCCTGGGGGACAAGAGGGACACTTGCCAAAAGGAAGATAGTTTCCAGAATGAATCTTACTAATGAATTTGCAGAGATATCCCAAAATCATGCATCCAGGCAGCTGTCTAGTATGAAAACCAGTTGTTCCTAATGGAAGTGTTCAAGGCCAGGTTGGACACAGGGGCTTGGAGCAAGCTGCTCCAGTGGAAGGTGTCCCTGCCCATGGCAGGGGTTGGAACTGGGTGAGCTTTGAGGCCCCTTCCCAACCAAACCATTCTATGATTCTGTGTTTCTGTAACGTCTTTACATTGTGTTCGTTCAGCACAAACCACTTTGATTTATTAATCCCAAATGAGCAGATGCTGTTGACTCGCAAAATATTTACTCCTTGAGCAAAGGTTTTGCCAAATGGCTTTTGCTGTTGGGAGAGAGCAGAATATGGGATACTTTCCCTGGATGCTGTGGGGATGGGATTTGAGCACGCTGTTTGCGTATGGCTCTCTGGGAGCAGGTGCAGCCTGGCAGGCTGGGCTGGCACTGGGGCCACATCACACCCTTCCTGTGCTTCACATTCTGCCAGTGAAACGGTGTTTATCAGCAAAAGTTCATTTGAACTGTATTAATCT